ATGGAATCAAACCAAATGTCCACAAACAGAAGAACAGATTGAAACATTACGGCACATGCACTCTATGGAATACTACATGGCCATATAAAACAACAAGACCCTGGCTTTTGACAGAAAGTGGATGAATATGGAGGACTTACTACTGACTAAAGCAAGTCAGGCTATGAAGGAGAGACATTTATGTGTCCATTTAATATATACTATCCGCCCTATGTGGCTGAAACAGAAAGATCCGAACATATAAAAACATGGAAATAGGTATAGTTTTGTAATGCAGTGTGTGAAAGAGGTGGGAGGAGGAGAGTGTGAGGAGGGACATTACGGAGAAAATTAGAGAGGCAAGACATTTATGGGAAACAGAAATGGATTATTATCGGTTGATGATAACATGTATTGTATCCCTGACTGGACTGGTGTCAAATGTATTCACGCTGGAAAATTAACTTTCCAAATTAATTGATACATAGGGGCTGAATGTGTAAGAGAACTTAAAAGAAAAAGAAAACGAGTTATAAAAAACTATTCAGAGAAACTATGATAATGATCAAACAAATGTTTTTAACCTACCGGACAGAGCAATAGCAGTCATAGCAGGGAAGTTCATAGCAATTAATGCTCACGAGGAAAAAAAGGAAAGGTAGCAAATTACCTAACGACCCAACTCAGAGAACTGGGAAAACTAACAAACACATTCCAGGAGGAAAAAAATAATCTGAGCAGAAATAAATTATATAGAGTAGAAAAGAACTACACAGAAAATAAATGAAACCAAAAGCTGGTTCTTTGAGAAGATAAACAAAACTGACACACAGTGAGGATAATTGAGAAGAACAGAGAAAGGAACCAAATACATCAAATCAGCAAAGAAACAGGAGTTGTTACAACAGATATAACAGAAATACAAAATAGGATGAGAGTACTATTTTACCAACAAACAAGATCTAGAGGAGATGGACAAATTTTTGGACATGTAAAACTCACCTAGACTGACCAAGAATAAAATAGGAAATCTGAATAGAACCATAACAAGCAATGAGATTGCATCAGTAATAAATAGTCTCCAAACAAGGAAGAGCCCAGGTCCTAAGGCTTTACCTCTGAATTCTGAAAAACCTTTGAAGAACTAACTCCAACCCTCCTTAAAGTATTTTTAAAAAATCGCAAGGAAATAATCTCCCAGAATTCATTCTATGAAGCCTCCAATAGCTTAATTCCAAAACCAGACAAGGACATGACAGAAAAAAAGGAAAAAAAAAAGAGAGAGAGAGAGAGAGAGAGAGAGAGAGAGCTGCAGGCCCATGTCCCTCATGAATATGGATGAAAAAATTCTCAATGAGCTATTAGCAAATCAAACTCAACCACATATTATAATAATTATAATCATGACCAAGTACGCTTTATTCCAAAAATGCAAGGATGGTTCAATATATGCAAAACAATAAATGTAATGCATCACATTAACAAAAGGAAAGATGATGAGGACCACCATATGTCATAATGGCACAATGGTTCCTAGACTCCCTCACAGTTGACTATGGTTTGCATCCCTAATCCAGTGCCTTAAACTCATGACTGATGTGCCCAAAATCCTGAAAGGAGAATGGAGGAGAAGGAATTGTGGCATGGCCTTCCCAGCTGAGGGATGATTTCTTATTTTCTGTCTCTTGTCTCTCTCTGTCTCTCTAGTGAGTGCACATGTCCTATAGCAAAAATGTCTAAAAAAAAAAAAATCGATGCAAAAAAAGTATTCAATAAAATACAACATCCCTTCAAAATTTTTTATGACTAAGGACTCTCAGAAAAATCAGTATAGAAGGGATATCCCTCAACACAATAAATGCCATCTATGAAAAACTCAGCTAACATCATACTGAATGGGGAAAGCTGAAAGCTTTTCTACTTGAAACTGAAACAAAATAAGGTTTCCTACTTTCTCCATTCCTTTTTAACACAGTATTCTAGCCAATGCATTTAAACAAGAGTCAAAATTAAAGCATCAAAATAGGAAAAGAAGTGAAATGATCTCTATTTTCAGATGATAGAATGTTATACATAGACAATCCAAAATAAACCATGAAAACTTATGCTTGGAAGTGATATACAAACATGGTAAAGTGGCAGGATACAAAAATTAATGTTCAAAAATCTATACTATTTTTATACACCCTAAATGGACAGACTGAAAAATAATGGAAAGAAATCCCACTTACAATAACCACAAACCAATAATTATCAAGAAATAAGCCTTACTAAAGATATAGAAGATCTCTATAAGAAAAACTATGAAATACTAAATAAAGAAATTTAAAATTATATAAACTTAGAAAAATATTGCATGTTCCTGCATTGAAAGCATTAATATAATCAAGATGACAATCCTGATTAATCTACAAATTCAATGCAATCCCACTCAAGCCACCAGAGATACTACTTACAGAAACAGTAAAAACAATCTGAAAAATTGTCTGGAAGCATGAAAGGGCCTGTATTGACCAAGTAGTATTCTGTAGGGAA